ATATATTCTTATGCATGTATATATACAGCTATATTTCCTTATTTATGGTTAGATATAGATATATATTCTTATGCATTTATATATAGAGATATATTTCCTTAATGATGCTACGTAAGCTTTCTCTATCTCTCTCTATATATATAGTGGGGTAATTTTATAGAGACCATCTGAAACATTGATATGGACAGATTAAACATGTAGGTGATTTGTTTGGATAAAATGAAAAATATGAGTTGGGGTTTTACCATTTTAATATCTGAGTGAGAAATTTAAAAAATGGATGGAGGAGGATGGTTGATCTGTAAATAGCAAGTATCCGGTGGTCTCTATGTAATTGCTTATAGATAATTTTTTTTTTTGTGCTGCTATATATATATATACCCATATATTTCATTATTGGGATGCTATATATAGGCATATAATTCATTATTAATGCTCATGTCTGCTTGAGTTGAGTCTAGAAATAAAATTAAAGGACGGCTGCTAGAAGTTGCCCAGCGGAAGCAGCGGGAAAACGGCAACGTGGTGTTGCTCTTTTTGCTCGAAAACTCCCATATCCTTTCATGCTTGCGGCCGGTGCGGTTATAAAAGCACTCAACACGCCTTCCATTCAACGCTCTGCTTTCAAGAAGTTCAAACAAACCTGAACCTTGGGTTGGCTAGAGAGAGTTCTTTGATCTTAATCTTCCTTGGCCTCTGCTGTGATCAACATTTACTCAATGGACGAGCAGGTAAGGTTTATGTGATTTTATTCATGATTTATAATATAAAATCCTGCAAAGTAGAGTAATTTGTATTGTATTTATTTTCATGAGTTTGTCTTATTTTGATACGCTTCCGAGGCAGACAATTAACGCAGATTTAATACATCTAAATGAGAGATGGTTCTAAAGCCAAACACCGCCTATAATTGAATTAGAGACAAAATCTTGATAGAAAGCCCTCATGAGGTTATATACAATCAGATATTATATCAGGGGCCCTTCGCGATCATTTTTATTTTTGATATTTTATTTTTTTTATTTTTGTTTTGATCCCCAAAAATATATATATATATATTTGACATATTTGATTAAGATATAATTGATTTTATAAATACTCAAAATACATAAAAATTATTTTGAGAGGTTTCAAAAAACATTAATTCATTTATAGTAACAAAAAAAAAACATATGAATATATACTTAATAAATATATTTTTACTCATTTAAATATTGTCAGATATCATAAAATTTTTTTTATATTTCATTTTTACTTTCTGCATGCAGTTTACTATGGACAACAAGCAGAAACTTGTCTCCACATTTCTTGAAATCACAATGAGCAATTGTAGGGATTCTGCTGCGAACATCCTCAAGGTTCATAGATTATTTGTACTAATGCAAATTTATATTATTAAAAAAGTTATTATTATCATGCAATGAATAGTGATTAATATGTTATATAATTATCTTCTGTAGGATGCAAGATGGAATATTCATGCTGCTATTGAATTATTTTTTGAGCGTGATGGTTCTCTTGGAGAAGCAACAACATCGCAATTTAATCCTCATTTCAATTTATTATTTTCTGACATTACACCAACGTAAGTTATTTTGATTTTATCTTCGAATTATTTTAGTATTTCTTTGGTAAGCTCTGAAATATTTAAATATATTTTTATAAATTTTATTTGTAGTGGTTGGAGCTCAGAGGATGAAAATGACATTGATAATGACACAGTGCGTCATGATTTTGATGTTATTGTCCACCATCCGTAAGTGAAATTTATTATTATTATTACTATTATTATTATTATTATTATTCTTATTATTTTT